AGACCTGACTTTAGATGACTACCAGAGTGAACAAAGGCGATCCAGTTCCCTGGACATGAGCCTAAAGATCTGCAGGGTGGCATCATTAGTGTTGCCCAGTGTAGCATCCGGGACTGAGCTAGCAGGAGAACAGAAAGTGAGTGCGCGCCATGTGAACTGTAATGTCGTACGCCCTGCACCAAAATTCATTTGACACTGGGTGCTCATTTGGGGAAAGAGCCAGAGTGTCAATGCATTGGTCCACTGGAGGCATGTGGTCCAGAACATAGTTCTCAGGGTTGTGTCTGTCACTACCATGGTGAGAGAGGTGCCTAGGATCCATCTAGCAGCGTTGAAATTCCACCAAGAAGGCTGGACATGAAGGGGCCTCAAATGGAGGGCGCCTTGCAGAAAAGGAGATTTCCCATTGCGTCAGGAAGGCCAACTCTGGCCAAGACTGCCATAATAATTGCCCACAGCTGACATGGATCCTGCCCTGGGTCAGAGCTTACTGGACTCCTGAGGGAATTCCCCAAACCATCCAAACTCTGGGGATCCATTTCCCAGCCACCAGGGTCTGGGAACCGGTCTCCTTGCTACCCAGGGCATGAAACTCAAAATTTGAGGCCCTCATGGAGATTCCACCCTCCTCTAGATCCTACCACGATTCCCAGGATGCTGTTTGGTGAACAGAAGTGGGGTCTGTAACTTTGAGTAAGGCCTTGAGGTGCTCCACAATATGGCACTCTTCAGCTGGTGCATCCCCTTGCATCTTGGAACAGAGTTGAAGTGCATCTGAGGGTAGATTTTCCATCTGACTTAGCTTTTCCCCTCTGACAGGCAATAGCAGGATGCTGCAGTTCATGCATGGGTCAACCAGTGCCTTCCTGACCCACCCACAAGCGTTTGGGGCACAGATCATGGCATCCTCCACCTGGAGGGAGTCTCCTAAGGAGGTGCACACCAGCATCCGGCAAACACTTGGGAAATGAGGGCCGGCACCAGGCAAACTGAGCAAGGACTTCAAATAAAACTGAAGAACGTGATCAGAGGACTATGTTAATATAACGTGACCACAAACATGTGTGCAGCGACTTATTAACCTAAGAGAGACTTCAACGAGGACTGAAGAATATATTTAGCTATGCAGTAACAATGCTACTCACCTGTGGCCCGCAGCTGTATGCCTTTTTCCAACCCTGGTGTCTCAGGAGGAATTATGTGTATCAGTGACGTGCGGTGAGGTTCATAGCTGGTGAGGCACTGACGTCATCAGAATCAGATTTGCAAATAGATGCATAGATTGACAGCAGTTTACAGGTTATGTTTCACTTCTGCATCCTTACACATACAAACTGTAGCTCACAAAACACACATTTCCTTAAAAAACAAAACAAAATAAATGTTATTACTGTCTTACCTTTACTTATAAATGAATAGAAGTCCTCCTTATCTTCCTTCAGTTTTAAAAGTCTCTCTGTCTCAATGGAGATCACTGCCAGGGAAGAAAGCCTTCCTTGATCCGTCCTGTTCCTGCCTTATGTTTTCAGTCTCTTGAGCACCCCCTGCCATGAGGCAAGAGAACTGCCTGCCTCACCTCGAACTTGTTCTCTGCCGTTTATAATCGCTCATTACACGAAACACGTTACACAAACACAGTTGGTGACAAAAAGCTCTGTACATTATATACATAAGCCAAATTATTAGAAATAAGTTCACATATTACATTTGTTTAAACCATTTTATTGACGCCGTACAGCAACATGCTCTCTCCGCTTTGCAGCCAGCGCAGAGCCAGGGGTTGCGCAATCCAAGGTGAGGCAGAGCTCGCTGCTGCCTCACCGGCATCGCTTCCAAGCATTTGAATGGGAAAATAAGAAAATTCAGCGATTTTGAACAAATAAAAATCGAAATTGGTGAAGCTACGTGAAAAATTAATATTTTTTAGTACAAACCACCGGATGAATATAACAATTTAAATTACTTTATGATTATATATTTTCTTTCTTTCCATGATGGCTGGTGAGGCACTGCCTCACCTGGCTCCCCTGACCGCACGTCAATGATGTGTATCTATCATTACAGTGTATCAAATTCGATCCCCTCAGTCTCCAATCTGTGTTCCTGAACAATACACTTGACCCCACACTGCTTCCAAAGCGCCACGCAATGGTAGCCCACTGCTCCCCAAGGGGATGGGTTAAATGCAGAGGTAAATTCTCCTATGTGAGATAAAAAAAATGTAATTATTAAGATCAAAATAGACCGAACATAGCCTTCTACATGCTATTTATAAATGCACGCCCAGATGAACTCAGTTTGACTGCATGACTTTGTTTAATCTCGACACGCCCTACCAATGGAATCAGGAAGGAACTAAACAGAACCCATGACGAGGGAAGATTTCATAACCAAGCCTTTTTTTGGTTATAGTTTCTATGTTGGCAGGTCCCTGTGCCAAATGAACAGTTAATAGGCTCTATGCACAATTCCACTACATCATGTACTTAAGGCAACTCTTTTTATACTGGATGAAGATTAATCCAGGTGTGCCTGACCTTAGTAAACATGGCCAGACACACATGGGGTAATCAGTTCATCCAGTAATGAAAGAAACAAAACAGATGCCTTAGTTTCAGGAACTAGGGAAGTTGTGCATAGAGCCCATTGCATCCTGCTTCCTCTTTCTACCTCCTTCCTTACCGCTAACAATATTCAAACAGCACTTGCCATGGTAAACACAGATCCACTATTTGGATAGACCCTTACCCCACAAGCTTCGAATAATTTCTCACTGCAATAGGTTTAACAGTTGACAAACCAGAGTTATATCACTTCGGTTCAAGAAATAGATATTAAAATCCTGTTTAAATAAAAAAATATATATAACAGAGTTCCATTTTAAACTGGTTAACTTTGGCAATGAAACAAACATGGCAAGCAAAGCAATCATAGTGTTACTAGTTAATAGGTATGAAATGTCAGAAATAGTGTTGAGTATGAAGTTTTATACAGTGGACCAAACCAAACGCTAACTCTGACATTTTGCATTGAAAAAGCTTCCTGGATGCGAAGCGAAACGTCTACAAACTTGGATTGTTTTTTGGGGGGATTTTTTTTTAAATTGTGAATTGTTTTATAAATATTTTGGAATGACTATGACCTGGATGACTGAGAATCTTTACCAGCATAGAAAAGGTAATGTTATGATAATGATACTCCACGCTTCTAGTCAGGCAAGAAACTGGAATTGCATGACTTTTATTTCCAAAATTAAATATTTAACTCCTGCTACAACAAAATAAGATTTATGATCACTGTTTTAGTGGTATTTTAAACTGGTTACGGGCCTCACTGATTTGCACTATTTGAAAGCAACCATATTGAGGGGTAGACAATTATCTAAGAGGCCTGAGACCCAGTCAAGCCGCAACAGATGAGGAAAACCTAGTTTGTTTCATTTGTGTATTTCCTAATAGGAGAATGGAGATATGCCTCAGGGATGCAATTAAAACTTTCCTCAGTCACCCTTAGATAAACACAGGAACCTGAGAATTGTAATTCAAGCCTTAGCTTGAACCCTGCTGTGTGTGCAACAAACCTGGAGTGTGGGTGTTTTGCGTGCAAGTTCTGGTTCATAAAAAAAGCATTGTGGTTGATTAGGTGGCAGAGGTGTCAACAGTATTAATGTTTATTACACAAGTAGAAATCCTTTTATTTAATAAAAAAAACTTTTGCAGAAGTTAGAGTAACAACTTAAGCTTTTTACTCAAGTAAAAGTGCTGAGTGTCATGATTTCTTAAGGGATCTGACCCACATGCAGAAAACCACTCAGAGAACCAGGGTAAAAGTTTTATTGATAAGGACAGCCGGGGTTGGATTCAGGAAACTCAGTGTACTGGTGAACTGGAACTGGAAGAGGGAAGGGAAGTATCAGTGGTTAGTTCAGGATGCATGGAAACTTTGAACAATGACTTGGAGGACAGAGAAAACGGGACTCGCGTTAGTGGAGAAAACTTTCCTCCAAGAATCCAGTTGGTGTGGGTTTATCCAGAGGTAGAGACTCGTTGGAGGGCGGACAGGATTAGACTTGGTTGGACACTGAGGAGCTATTGAGCGGACTGTCACTTGGGAATCCAGGAGGACTTGAACGGAACTTGTGGAGGTTAATCCCCTGCTCAGTGTGAGACTCAAAAAATCCTTCTAGGGGAAGAAAGCCAAACATCCAGCTTGCAGGATGACTTCCTGCCAAAAAGGCAAAGACAAAAACAAGGTTAGGCTCAGTGAAACAAAGAGACTCAGTTAGACTCAGCTAAACTCAGCTTGGCTAGAGTACCCAAAACTGGCAAACACTCTGGCGCCGAGGTAGTGACAGTCCATGGCTCAAATAGTCCTCAGTAATTAATCAACCAGCCGCAGGTGTGTGAGAGGACCAACGAAGACAGGGCGCCACCTGGTGGTGGAGGGAGAGAAAGACACAGAAACACAACCCACACAAACTGGATTCCTAACACAGTGGTACCATTTTTAAAACTACTCAAAGTGTAAAATTAAAAGTAATGCAGGACAAAAGGACAGATGCGTTAAATCTTAAACTGGTTACTGCCCTATCCTATTAAATTATTATACTTAATTATTATACTTAATTTTCTTAGTTTTTCAATTAATGGTAACAGTGTCAAATTTAAATTAGCATCATCTTGTAAAAATTATGTCTGTAACGAGTCCAACTACAAAGAAATTAATTATCTGGATAAAAATCAATAACTTGGATGTTTTCTTTTTAATACCAACAGGCCACAATGAAAATGAGCTTAAATAAAAAAAACCTAATGAGCGTATTTTTAAAATGTAAGGAGTAGAAAGTAGTAGATAAAGTAGATAATTGCAAAAAAAAAAAAAATTTAGAAGTAAAAATTTGCCTAAAAAGCATTAATCCAGAAAAGCCAAATAGCCAACATTTCTACTTAATGTGAGGTAAGGAAGTATTTGTACTTTGTTACCTGACACCTCTGGGTAGCTGCTATTGTCTCGCTATCCAACTGAGAGTAATAATCTTGTCAGTCTGAGCCTTGAGACGACCAGTCAACAACCGATGCTCATTCTGTCTGCTTGAGACAAACCAAGGTGAGGACTAATGTTAGAAATAGGATCTATAGCTTTTCAATGTATTTCTGTGGAGTAAAACTATGAATTAGTTTCAGAGCAGCAGTAGAGATATGTCTTAACGGCACTGTCTTTCCCAGAGGTGAACCAAATACGTATTCTATTTAGCTTTTCAGGAAATCCATTCTTTGTACGGTGTGACTTTGATTACCTTTTTTTTTTGTTTTGAAGAAATCATCGTACTAGAAAGAAAAAAAATCAGGTTATAAATGAGACAAATAGACTCTATACAAGTTGAGACAGACACCTACATTTTTGTCTTTTTAACCTGTAGACTATAAAAGGCAACCTGAAGCTCAGATTCACTTCACCTCACCACATCCCAACACCTCCACCTCGAAGATGACAAAGGTAGGTCAGCTTTTAAACAAGATGCATTCAAATGTTGTTGTTTTTTTATGCGTTGTCATTAATGCCTGACTAATAAAAGGTTTAAGATAAAATGCTGAAATAAAATGCCTCACTCTGTAAGTGATGATTTAGATCTTTACTGAATGTATAACTAGTTTGAGACAGACACTGAAAATCTCCTACTTTTAGCTGAGCAGTTTGATGCTTAACAACAGATCTGCTGCAGAAAATGTAGAAAAAATTGAAATGTTATATAAATTATACATTATATAAAACCAGGTGTTAAAAAATAGTCTGTAATATTTTTTCTGTTGTTATCCCAGAATATTGTTTTTCAACCTGCCTGCAATAAAGCCAAAACTGAAATTTTCAGTTGGGGAGGTAAAGGATTAAGAGATCAACATGGTTACTTTAAGCCCAAAGGCATGGGAATGGTGTTTTTTTTTTTTTTTTTTTTTTTAACAACCTGACCATGAGTAAAAGAAAGTTTATTTCCAAATTGAGAACATCTGCTGGGTGAGCCAACATACTGTATGCAAAATGTTACCATAAACAGAAGAACCTTTTAAACAATAGCCTTAAAGTGTCAAGGGGGCTCAATTATAAAGCATGTCTGCACACAAAATACATGCTTTGTAATTGTTAATGCAAAACTCAGGAGGTATAAAGATGAATGTGGCATGAAAGTATGGGGCAAGATTTTGAGGCAACCAGACAAACTTATTAAATCCACAACAACAACCTAAAGGACACTATAACTTTACTAAAAACTAAGTTGTGGCTTTGTGCAGTTAATTTTAAACCGAGGGAGAGAATAACTTTATGTTTTTTCTTCTTTTGAGCTGTTATGATTTAAACTGGAATAAATGACATCAATTCATTCTCATACAATACAATTACAACCCTAAAAAATAGGTTTTTCTGTTAGTATGAAAGAGTCATGATTCTGCACTTTTTGGTTCTGTTTAATTTTACTTTTTGACATTTCAGTTACACTTTGATTAATGTATTTCTGTGTTTTCTAGTTTATTGGTTTCATTTCCATTTTGTGTTATTCTAGTTGTTTTTGGTTATTTCTTTTGAGTTCTTATGTATTTCTTGTTGACCCTGTGTTGCCCCTTTGTGTCCGTCTTCTTTCTCTAGCTCCCTTCTACATGCTTCCATCAACACCTGTTCCTTATCAGCTCATTACCCCATTCTTTGTTCTGTCTCCCATATATACTCTCCCTGTGCAGTTCCTCAGTGCTGGTTCCTCGTCGTTTCCTATCTCCTCATGTGTGTTTTCCCTGATGTCTCCTGGATTTTGGTTTTCTGTATTGTGTTATTTTTAAATTTTTGCATCAGTTGTCACCTTTTTGTTATCAAATCTGCAAGAAACTGCCCCAGCTTCCCTCTCTGCATTTGAATCCTCTTCAAACCTCCACTCAACCTAACAAAATTGTCCTCTTGAAACCAAACCTGGATTTTATGCTCCTCTGCGCACAGACCAATGCACATATCCATGACATTAACAAAGAAATATTTACAATTTATCTTTTTGAATATTTTTTTTTGCATTTACTGAAACTGTTTCCATCATTTTTTAGGTATGAAACAGTGTTATAATACAATAAATGCAGGTCAAATGGTTACTTTAAGGCTTGACTATTATAGTTCTTTACTATCTATCTATAGATTTATTTCTAATAGATATCGGTGACCTATGCTTACACACTGAATTTTACTGGTGGGTCAAAGAGATTTTAAAAGTTGAAAGCAAATCTTTTAGATTTCACGCTACTCTGTTAGGGGTTTAGTTTGCGTGGTGGGCACCCTGTGTGGGTTTAATACTAGACCTAAAACTTCACTAATAGATAAAATTTAAAGTGGCTCTGGCTATCCTCTACAATCTATGCACTTATGCTGCTATAGGCTTACGCTGCTAGAGGACATAAAGACCACTTTTCCTCACTCTGCAACTTTCTGCTACCATCAAATTTTTCTTTACCTGATATTATTTTAGCTTTTTTTTTACCTTTGATATCTCTCTGCTGGGGGGTTCTTTTTAGAGGTAAATATTCTTATCAATTGTCAGTATATATGAGGTTGATTTGAGTGATTACTTTAAAGAACACAACAAAACAATAACACAGAATCAGCGACTGTCCACTTGTGATAAATCCACCTCGTCACTTAAAACAACCTCTCTAACTTTGTGTGCCACACACACATTCCTGTTATACTGTGCTTGTGAGGACATATGCACTCGCGCTGAGCCCTACAGTTCATTAACTTAAAACACACAAGCTCTTCCTGGTTACCTGCTGGTGTATTGAGGGTGCACACTTAATATTTCAGTGGGGTTAACTGTGTGTGTGTGTGTGTGTATGTGGGTGTGGGTGTGTGTGTGTGTGTGTGTGCTACGGGGACTTGTCATCTTCAGTCTGGCGGCGCCATAAGGAACGGGCACATGACGTCACACGTTGCGCGGCAGCCATATTGAAAGCTGGTCAGCCCATTGTTTACACTTCGACTTCGCGCCTGTAAGGACTTGCTTTCTTCTGCTAGTAGTTTGCTTAGTTTTTTGCCGTTTCATTTTACCTCTGCTGTCGTTATGGTCACCCGTTGCTGTGTCGTAGGGTGTAGTAGCGCAAGCTGTGACTGGACGGGGGAAAAAATCCCAAATGGATTGTCTTTTTACCGTTTTCCAACCTGGAGGCGTCTCAATGGAAAACAAATGTCCTCCATAACAAAGAGTCGCCGGCTAGCATGGGTCGCTGCTGTAAGACGGCCAAATATAACTTTCAACTCAATCCCAGTGTCCATGAGAGTGTGTTCCCGGCATTTTCATTCTGGTAAGTTACAGAACATACATACAACATAGTACCATGGTAGGACAGTCATATATCATCAGAATGTAACTACAGTATCCCAGGACACGTACAGTCAGCACAAGATTTGTTTAGATACATTTTTGATGTTTTACGTTAGTGCCTGCACCTAGTCTTATCACCACAACAAACACCACACCATGTTGAGACGGTAGCTTACCTTGGATCTAATGACTGTGTTCTCATTTGGTTTGATTACTTCCATGTCGTGAACTTTTCCATTTGTCAGCTGTTTGTAAGCCTCTAGCGACTTGTAGCAGCGAAATTCTTCATGTGTGTAGGCACTGACGCCACACACTAGATAGGAAAATATGTCCTCCCTCGCAAACGGCGGTAGAAATTCTTCCCCAACGCACCACTCCTTGCTTGCTGCTTCGTAGGGATCAAGTCCGTTTATGAAGCCCATCTTTTGCAGATAACGGTCCCTGGCTTCCCTCTGCAGTGTGTCTCGGTATATTCCGCATCCTTTCTTCGCTTTTAACATCGCTGTTTACTCGTCTCTGTGCTGTTTTAGGTCTTTGTTTACCGTAGCAACTAGCTGTCAATATGGCGGCGTACCCAGAATGCAACGCGCTGTGCCCGTCCCCTATTGCTGGGTTCAAACCCGAGGCAAAGCTCAGTAAGCGGTTAAAAGGCCAGAGTTGTTGGAATGCAGAAGTGATGTCACCAACTCGTGACTCGTTAAATGTTTGCCAGATTATTAATTTTTTTTATTTTATGTTTAAAAGTTTGGTGTATTTGAATAAGTCAATTAATCTGTGTAAAGGAATTAAGTTGTGAAAATTATTTGTTTTTGTATATCAATTCTGATTGTTTGTGGAGGTAATACAGGTGCTGGTCATAAAATTAGAATATCATGAAAAAGTTGATTGATTTCAGTAATTCCATTTAAAAAGTGAAACTTGTATATTATATTCATACATTACATACAAACTCATATATTTCAGATGTTTATTTTGTTTAATTTTGATGATTACAAATGACAACAAATGAAAATCTCAAATTCATCATATCAGAAAATTAGAATATTGTGAAAAGGTTCAAAATTGATGGCCCCTGGTGCCACACTCTAATCAGCTAATTAACTCAAACCACCTGCAAAAGCCTTTAAATGGTCTTTCAGTCTAGTTCTATAGGCTACAAAATCATGGGGAAGACTGCTGACTTGACAGTTGTCCAAAAGACGACCATCGACACCTTGCACAAGGAGGGCAAGACACAAAAGGTCATCGCTAAAGAGGCTGGCTGTTCACAGAGCTCAGTGTCCAAGCACATTAATAGAGAGGCGAAGGGAAGGAAAAGATGTGGTCGAAAAAAGTGTACAAGCAAGAGAGATAACCGCACCCTGGAGAGGATTGTGAAACAAAACCCATTCAAAAATGTGGGGGAGATTCACAAAGAGTGGACTGCAGCTGGAGTGAGTGCTTCAAGAACCACCACACACAGACGTATGAAAGACATGGGTTTCTGCTGTCGCATTCCTTGTGTCAAGCCACTCTCGAACCACAGACAGCGTCAGAAGCGTCTTGCCTGGGCTAAAGAGAAACAGGACTGGACTGCTGGTGAGTGGTCCAAAGTCATGTTCTCTGATGAAAGTAAATTTTGCATTTCCTTTGGAAATCAAGGTCCCAGAGTCTGGAGGAAAAGAAGAGAGGCACTTCATCCACGTTGCTTGAAGTCCAGTGTAAAGTTTCCACAGTCAGTGATGGTTTGGGGTGCCATGTCATCTGCTGGTGTTGGTCCATTGTGTTTTCTGAGGTCCAGGGTCAACGCAGCCACATACCAGGAAGTTTTAGAGCACTTCATGCTTCCTGCAGCTGACCAACTTTTTGGAGATGCAGATTTCATTTTCCAACAGGACTTGGCACCTGCACACAGTGCCAAAGCTACCAGTACCTGGTTGAAGGACCATGGTATCCCTGTTCTTAATTGGCCAGCAAACTCTCCTGACCTTAACCCCATAGAAAATCTATGGGGTATTGTGAAGAAGAAGATGCAATACACCAGACCCAACAATTCAGAAGAGCTAAAAGCCACTATTAGAGCAACCTGGGCTATCATAACACCTGAGCAGTGCCACAGACTGATCGACTCCATGCCACGCCGCATTGCTGCAGTAATACAGGCCAA